AAAACTGCTTACCCTACAGATATTGATCCCTGGATCTATTATACCTAGGTATAAAAAATATTGTGAAGACTGTATATTTTTATTTACTGCGTTCAACTGGCTGAAAAATCCCTTACCCAGCACTCTCGGTGACAAAAACAAAGTTTATGATAAAGAAAGTAATAATCAGCGAAACCTTTCACTAACGTCTTGCGAATTTCGCTTTCAAATTCGATATGGAAATGAGAACCTCACCCCAAATCCTCTTTCCGATATTATTCTCGAAACACGTTTAATAGAGTTCGTTAAGTAAGAAACAAATGGGGTGTGGATCGTATATCAAAATGCTAATCTCATAAAAGAACCTGAATCACGCAATCCTCATGATCATTCATTTATTTTATATTTACAACATAAATAACTATACGTCATACAATCGTTAAAGCTATTTCTAAGAAATGCCTGCCTACTTTTTTATACAGGGTGTTTTTAAAATATATAGCAAGCTTGCAGGAGGGGACAGGGCATATAAATAATAAAATTAAATGTTTGGTGGTCCGAAAGTCCACTGTGTTCGAGAAAACAGTCCGGCTCTGGTAGGATCACGCAGGAAATGCAACACCGCATTCAATCAACTGCTACTTAGTAGCATCTGTGATGTATTTCTTTTGTATTTTTGTATTCATGCATTCTTTGTTATTTATTAGATTAGATTAGGTGTGATGGCGATGTTTATCTTTACAGTCAGCCTAGAGCAGTTCTTTGTTCTTTTAACGTTATAGGCTCGTATTACATATCTATGTAGACAGTCGAAGTCGTTAGAAGTAAGTCAATGTGTCAGTGTCATAGGTCAGAGCAAAATAGTGCATACTATCAGCGAAGAGCAAAGATTTAAAGATTATTATGTGTATCAGTAGGTTGTTGATATTTACTTTATTAGTCTATGTACGTTGCCAATTCTTGCCCAGAAACTTTTTATAAATAAACGTAGTATTATTCTAAAAGACAACCTTAAATTTTGATAGCCACTTGGAGATTAATTTAATTTAAGGTCATCAGTCCTAAGCCTGGTTGGACTTGCACATCCGCTTTTTCCTATCCTAAACTAATCTTTACATTTTCCTAAAACTTGACCATTTTTCTCCAACTAAGTCAGAAATTTACTATTCAAAGCCTGTACAATTGTTGTTATCGTTTTCATTACAAATGATAATTACCATTCATTAGACTGACGAGTTTTCTTTTGAAGAGGATCATATAATAGATTCAACGTTAAGATTGTGGAACTAGTTGAACACGGCCAATTACGGAATGGTCTCTTTTCCCTTATCTCGAGTCGAAACATTTTCCATTTACGAAAAGTAACAATTTAATTCCCGGAATGATGCTCATGTATAACATGTACTTAAGGGGATGTATACACTTTTACGGAGTATAAGTAGCTCCCTTGCGACTTCCGAGCACTTGCAGAGTTTCCCCGTTCCTTCAGAAGACGACACAAGGAAATGGATTTTCGTAGGTAGCAGTTTCTGTTTTTTTTTCTTCTTTGTAAAAACAATAACAATAGAAACTGTAAACCATTCGTTTATTTCAATGGTAAATGCCTGCCTATAGAGATTTTACTGATGGTAGTCTTGGGTCTTTACTTTGCACCCATAAACTTAGTCTTTATTTTGAACTGAACTTATTATATCTGTAATTTTGGTCTTGACATTACATCCACAATTTTGATTTTTGTCTTTATCAGAAATCCACAGTAAAACTGATCTTAAACCATACATAAATTTACCTTACGTCTGTAAATCTAATCATGATCTGCAATTTAATACATATATATGAAATGTGTGTAATCCGTCATTGTATACAATTCCTAGGAAATGTATATAATTCCTAAAATCGCCCGGGAATGTGCGAAATAAGTTATATTAGACACATTTCCTAGGAAATCTATACATTTCCTAAATAGCAATTACATTCAAAATATAAGGGGTATGCGGAGATAGCGGAGCGAGGGGAAGGTATTGCGTCATCTGATCGGGCGATTTATTAAATTAACAGATAACTCTGATTCTCAGTTATTAACTTGTTTTATTAATTTTATTCGCAGAAAGCATTAGTTCGGAATTTCATACAATTCCTAGGAAATGTATACATTTACTAGGATAACTGTGTATTAAAAAATCTTTGAAACAATGTTTTATGCATTTCCTAAATAGCCTCAGAATTGTATACAATTCCTAGACTTCTTGTATCTNCTGATGAGATCCAAAAAGATCGAAATCGCGATCCGCGTCTGGCAGTTTCGACAGAATACAGACCACTTCGAATTATTTTATTCGAATTATTTTATTCAAATGGATTGTTCAAATACTAAATCAGTCTTGCTACGTTACCGTTAAATTATAATTATTGTTGATTATTAACGTAAAATAATAATTAGAACAGGCCATTACGCAATGAAGAAACAAAATTTAATTTTGAAAATTAAAGCTGAATGTACCGAAATGAAACGAGGTAAAATTAAGCCTCGGCAATTTTGTGTTAGGCCTTTAATTTCTCGAAGTTTTAGATGCTAATTGCAGGGCATATCTAATGCGGCAACTCGGGGGTAGAAATTTAATATTACCTTTAGGACAAAAGGAAGTTGAAGATAACGGTTAGGGTAAATTTTTTGAGTGTTGTGTAAATATTTGCTACGGCTTAATTTGCGAGAGAGTATCTTAGCATTGGAAACTCGCATACAAATTCAAATACAATTAGTAGAAATGTTAAAAATGAAAAACTAGGGTTAAAATAAAAGGAAGTGTATCATATTATGCAAAATTTTTAATATTGATAAGCTTGACATATTGATATTTATTTATTAACTTTAACTTATAGAATACAGAATTTCTTATTGACCTAAAAGGGTTAAAGTTTTATAGGTGCTTATGTTTTTCATTGATATATATAGATATATAAGTAAAGAATCATTTGAGTTAACATTGTAATGGTTATTATTCACAGCAGTTTGTTCAGTAATATCTATATCAACATAAAAAAATTGAAAAGATTAGAAAATTTTTTATGCGTTATAATTTCCTTATTTACATTCCGTACAAGTCGGGCAATTTGGTTTAGGCTTATTCTATAAAAATTCCAATAAAAGGCGACAGTCAGGAAACCCAAATTTAACTTCGTTTCCTGCATTATTTTGCCTGGGTCAATCTAAACTTTGTCGCCGTAGTCAACTATAAATCAATTTTGTTAGTAATTGAAATTCAAAATGCGATAATAAGTTTAACCGAGAGTCACATCGAAAGTCTTCATTCAATACGGCAATTGGACTGAAGGAATTTGCAGCTGATGCTTCTGGAATATAAGTTAGCTTCTAGATAGTTATTTATGAACCAAAATTGGTAGCCAGTAAGATACAATAAAAACTTTAGGTACCAATTTTTAAGGACAAAAACATTTCATGAAAAATTTCCATAGATAAATGATTAAATTATTGTTCTACATAGACAACAACATAAAATTACCTTCAACCGGGTGATCTTGTAAAGCTTTCGGGGTGAATAGTTATTTTCATTAGTAATGACGATATATTATTTGCCTTATAACATAAACGTTTAATTTTAAATGACGAATTTCATTAAAAAAAATTAGAGTAAAGCCTCCCTGAACCAACTCTTTAAAAAACAATGTTATTGCAACAATTTTATGCAAAAGAATCCCTCAAGATAAAAACCGCAAACTTGTCTCCACTCTATACCTCCTATCTAATGGGTATTATAATCCTTTTTTGCTTATTTTTCTTCCCCTTTTATCTCTCAGGAGTTGTTATGACATCAAAAGTTTCGAAAGGTATACAGTAGGTGTACATAATACCTATTTTATTATGCAGAAATGGTAAAAGTTTAATTTTCAATTTCCCTGAAATTCCATGTGCTCCGGGCGTTACGAAATTGCAGACTTGTTCTGAAAACCCACGTATACAAGATAATCTCATCATTCCAGATAATAATCCTTACAGAGGTCCAAATAGAAGTCACTGAAATGGCCGGTGCACGAAATTCGCACAATTTAAAATGCTTTTTGTTCCTCGCTAAACGTTTTAACTTGCACGGTACGTAAGAGTAATGAAAACGAATATTGGTTCATTGCCAAACTTTTGTAAACAGCGCAATCTGTTTCGTTACGTTAAGAAAAGTATAAAATAAAAAGCAGCAAGGGAAAAAGGTGAAAAAGTCGTTAAGTCACTCTTTAGAAACGAAAATTTGTTTTCCATTAGTTTTTTATAAGTAAGGGAAGACAAAAAGTTCATCAAACATATAGAAATTTAAACCAGCTCTATCTGAACAAATACATATCAAAGTTCAACGACGACTACATAAAACTAATTTCTCTATCCCTAATGAACAGCATTTTTTTCTGTAGTCCTGTCAATATATGTACAAAAATTTATGATAGGTTTTAACCCCGGCTTTGTTCGCGTTCATGTCCTACATTATGTTAAAGATCATCGACGATCACATAAAACTAATTTCTCTATCCCTAGGGGGCAGTATTATTATTCTGGATAAAAGGTACCCTATGCCCTTTTCTGTAGTCCTGATAATGTATGCACAAAAATTCATGATAGGTTTTAGCCTCGGCTTCCCTCGCGTTGATGTCCTACATTAGTCAGAGATCATCGACGACCACATGAGATTAATTTCTCTATCCCTAGGAAGCAATATTCTTTTTCTGGATAAAAGGTACCCTATGCCCTTTTTTATAGTCATGATAATGTATGTACAAAAATTCATGATAGGTTTTAGCCTCGGCTTCGCTCGCGTTGATGTCCTACATTCGTCAGAGATTATCGACGACCACATGAGATTAATTTCTCTATCCCTAGGGATCAGTATTTCTTTCTGGATAAAAAGTACTTTATGTCCTTATTCAATAGGTACAACTAAGTGTTAGATTAGAAAAAAATTGCGATTTATTGATTTGTGATTCATATTTCATAAACGAGCAAATAAAAGCAGACTTACCCTCCGGCTGTCTGCGATTTGGGGAAAAACGAAGTCGGTCGCCGTCAGTAAAACTTTATACGGCCCCTTTGACAGTTTTTTCTTTTTTATTTGATATTTCGCAAGAGCAACTGCTCCTAAAATCACGCTAACAAACACACACGAGCACCCCAAAATAACAATCACGCTCACGATTTTCGCGAACTCGTCGCTCTCGCAGTTTTCGCAATCGTCGTCGGTCTTATGACGAAGAAGCCATTCGTCCAAATTGGCCTGAATTGGAACACTTTTAAATTCGCTACAATTTTCGCACTTCGAAACCCGCAGAATCGCCCGCAAATTATTCCTTTCGTCGTACGGTTGAATTTCGTAAAAATTATACTCTGTCGCGTCCCTTGCTCCTTCACTCTCATCAAACATCGCGAGAGCTCTTTCAATTTTATCCAACAATAGACTTTCCAAAGTCCCGTTCTTACCGCCGCTTTCGGAAAATATCAATATCGAATTTGTAAAGGTCGAACCGAAACGATTCAGGAAATTCTTCCGCGAAATATCACTCGAACTGTTTATGCGGTCGGTGGCTGGTCGATCGAAAGCAATCGACGATATCGTCGACGTTACTTCGCCAATGAGTTCGAAACTCCACGACGGTATTGCGGCTACGTCCAGCAGGATCAGGGACGCCCCAGTCGTCCCAATCAAGCTGGAATTACTCGCTGAGTCTAGAATTCTTCGACCGATATCGTTCGCTGAGGAACAGATTATCAGCACTAGAAAAAAAAATCGCTTAATACAAAGCAAAAGAACATGTCCGACGAGGTATTAGTCGATTAAAATTGCTATTCAAGAACTCGAAGAGAAAAATGTGTAGGTAGCACAAAATTAATTAAGATCTTTCTCTCTTTCTCTTACAGCAGAAATTAATTATGTCAAAAGTATTGGTAATTACATTATTTAGGTACATACACACACATACTTACATACAACATTGCTAGTTTAATTGTTGTTAAATGTACAAGCTTACGCACAACGGTTACTTTACCTCGACAGTTGCTTTTAACGAGTGCTTTGAAGTTTCCCTGGAGTTGGAAGTCCGTCGTGCTTTTGGAAATAATGAAAAAGTTTCGCGGAACAATCCCCGATTTTCGCAATTCAACGTCCAGCGTTTGCGACAACCCCGGCCACCATCCCTCTCCTGGAAAAGAAAAAAGGAAGAAAAAGAAGTAAAACGTTACACACAAGGAACGGTGTCTCATAATAGTTTGACTGCAACAATCGCGTTCATTAAACTTTCCTTATGCAACTTTAACGAATGCCAAAATAAATGGAGTACTTTCAGCACGTTTGTCGTAATGTCGTAACATTTTTGTAATGGCAAGAACAAAGACTCCCTTGTGCAAAAATTGGTGGCAAATTATTAATATTGGATATTACAACAAACGAAAAAGAAATCTAAAATTTTTATTTCAATTTGTGAAAGCTGAGGAAAGGCAATTTACGATGAGAAATGAATTGAGTGTGATACTTTAATTGTTATTCGAAACCTACAAAATATCCCACTTCGAGCGTTCAAATTTCTTTATTTGTTTCGCTGATCGTTCTTTCTCTGCGTTGATATGTAAAAAAAAAATAATGACTGTTAACACCCTTTGTATTCGCTTCATAATAGTAACCCATTTCACCGATTCCGTTTCGTTTTTTTGTCTCCAGAGAGGCTTGAAATTCGTCGATCAATTCGCCAGTTGACGTTGAAATAAACGAATTAAAGCAAAACTCTTCAAACACCCTCCGTCTCGTACGGTTTTCCTTCTCGCTGCTATTTCTGACGCTGTGCTGGGACGTTTCACTTACAAAAGAACTGAAAATGCTTCCCTCGAAAATAGGTTAATTATTGGAATTCTCGTGGAGCAAGAGAGACCGAAATGTAAGCGATATTTGCAATTTTTCTTTCTTATATCTCTTTCAGGTTTGACGAGGGTGTATTTTTATTTACGGTAAAGAACCAACTTTATCGACTAAAAGTTATAAATCTAACTGGCACCCCGAATTCTAGGTATTCCACCAAATATGAGACGAAATCAAAAACACAAATTGTTTAACTTACTTCAGATTAATCCATTGGAAATACGTTATGGCATCTAGGCCCCTAGGGTATCTCCTATTTTGTATATGGCCCTAATCAGGGACTGAGAGACAACATCCTGTTAAGGCATGCCTTATTTATACTGAAATCCTGTCAGAACCCTTTACGTCCTTCCTATTAACACCGATGCGCCCCTGTCTCAACATTCTGATACATTTGATTCCTTTTACAGCATGCCCTGTTTAGACTGATACGACCCTACGCGAATGCCATATATCTACCCTTTAACTGAATGCCATATAAAACTTACCCTGACCCTATTTAAATTCTTTTACGGTATTCCCTATTTAGACCGATTTGACCCTGTGCAGTGGTTCGTGGATTTCTAGTGTTTGAGAAATTCCAATTCTCTAATTAAAAATTGCAAAAGAAAAGTGTGAAAACCTCTATCTTTAGTCAGATTTTTAAAAGTTGTGTTCATTTGTTTGCAAACAAGGGAGGGAAAAATGCCCATCAACACGAACAGATTATTTATCATGAGAGTTACCGTAAACTAATTGTAAGTTTTAACCCCTTTTAATGAGTAGTCACGAAATACTCAGAACATATTCATTAAAGATAATTACATCGGTAAATAAATGGACACATCCAAATTCATTCTCATTGATGGAACCGGCATTTATAAAAATAAGCGAATATATAAATCAAAACATTAAATAAAAGTTACGCCATTTACGTCACGATACTGTCGTGTCTTTTGTATTATATTCTAAATTATTGACTTTGTACGTACTCTGTAAAAGTTTCTTGCTTCTAAAGAGAGGAATTTAGAGACAAACCTGGAACATTCAATTTAGTCAGAGACAGCCGGCGGCTACAAACCTAAAACGTTTTCTTCTATACTCGTTTCCTTTTACTAAAAGAGGAAATTGTTTTTCTTTTTTATGCTTCGCCAGTATCATGAAAGACTAACCAACAAAGAACGCAAGAAAAGATTTTTAAAAATCGTAAAATTATGAATGTAATAAAATTTAACTCGATTATTATCCTTAGAGCATTTTAGGGAAGTAAGAAGTGGCAAATTAATGGTATCTAATTGTAATATCAACTGAGGGTAGTTGAAGGATTTCTTTAGTATAATAAAAACATTGACAGTTATACACAGTAGGTTTTTGTCTCCGTGGAATAAACTATGATTGAAAATTATAAATGACAACGTTTTCTTTGGTTTTAAATGAGTTTTTCTTTCAAATAATTTAGTGAATCCTTAACTTTCTCAAAACATTTTATTTGTCTATAAAATATTCACCTGTTTATATATAATTAATAATTTTTCTTTTTTTATTTCTGTTATAAACTTAATGTCAGGAAGCTACATCACGCAAGGCTTCATGGGAGAGAGCTCCTTGGGGTGCTGGTGCCAGATAGTTTCATTTACTTGTGTGGAATTTGCTTCCTGTGTACAATTTTGAAACAAAGCTAAATTATCTTCGATTAGCACACCCACTAATTTTTGCTACAACCCCGCTATCCTTTTTTTTTATAGATAAAATAGGGGCCTATGTTGCGCATGTAAATTGGTGCACAAGCAATCACTTAAAATGTTTCTGTAATTTAGTTATTCTTATAGAATCGAATGTGACACCACGCGCAGCTCCTGAAGCATCTTAAAAGGGTGCAAAAAGTGGATCCAATACCTCCCTACCATAAATATTCATGCATGGTAAAAGAAAATCAATCTCCAGTAGGGGATGATCGAACGAAAGTGAACAAGAAGATCCGATGATATAACGCCGTGGTATTTTGTTCCCGTGCAGAAAATACATTACCAAAAGAAAAATTAGTTTGCTCCCGCTGTCCGTTCGTCCGTGGCTTCAAAACAAGGGATATTGATTTTTATTATGTTACTTTCCACTTAATTGTGTCCGTGACCGCCATGATTTATTTTTGGACCCGCGATCGCGATTCTATTCCTTTTGCTTTGGACATTTCCCGGAAACGTCAACTTATTTCGGATAAACCACTGCGGAATCGGTCACGAAGGACTTTCATTGGTAAAAAATATATTATTAGGTATTATACCACTTAATATGTCGTCATCAAGATTTATTAACTGCTTTTATCACTCACGATATTTTTATTACGGTGGAAAATGGAGCCCTCATTAATTAAATACAAATTAAGAAATAACAAAACATATATATATCATGTAGTTCTTAAACACCTTAAAAGGTTAATAAAAAACATACAATCTTTGCTGTAGTTTCCTGTAAAATTTGGGACACCCCAATTAAAAATGAATTACAGAATTACAATTAAAAGATTCAAAATGAAAGCAAGTAAAACGGAAGTCAATTTCAATTGAGTTATCTATAATCTATATCATACGTATATAAATAACTAGGAAACGTTCAAGATTGGATTAATTTTTTTTGATTTTAGATCCCCCGCCTCTTATTAGAAAACCTATTGAAAAAAAAAAGTCTTTTAAGAGTCTTATAAACGCTACAATTTGATTTGAAATTATTAAATATTTTATGGTTTTTAATCTTCCCTAAGATTAATAAATTATTTAAAAAGATATAATTGAAACGCTCAACCCCTATGTCTGCTTACGTAATACTGGAATACACAGCTAGTACGTAATTTATTTTGCAGTAGGTAAATTTTATTCACGACTTATAAAGTGAAAATATCTCCATTTTCAGTAACACAATTCCATCCCTCTACATAAAAGTTATCATTAAGTAGACACCGGCGCTACCGTGGCAATTAGCAAAGCGTCGCTTTTATTTCGGCGACTAAAAGTAAAATTTTTGCAATTATAACTTCTTTTGATATTCCTCTGCTTGTTTCCAATTACATACATACATACGTACATTTCCCCTGGAGACGTCGCTATATCGAATCAAACAAAAGTTTGCGATCTGTTACATAATTAGCTAACTAGCGTGTCATTTTAGAAGCCATTCACATTCGAAACTCTATAATTGAGTTCGAAACCAACAGGCGAGGGGACTTCCTCCGTTGTCTACCTTTATAAATTAGATATTACTTAGGATGTACATCCCTCATACGAAATTCTGAATTTCAGCATTAGCATTCTAAACTATTGCCGGTACATAAAATAATCAATATTTTATAGAACAGGAACGTTCTAACCCGAGCTTGGGATTCAAATACGCCAATGTGTAGAGGTAATTTAGAATGACATGGGCTTCGGCCTTGGGTTGCGTAAT